CACTGCACTCCAGTCTGGGCGACAGAGTGAGACTCCAACTCAAAAAAAGAAAAAAAAAAATTATAGACTGGGTACAGTGGCTCACACCTGTAATCTCAGCACTTTTGAGAGGTCGAGGTGAGAGGATTGCCTGAGCCCAGGGGTTCAAGACTAGTCTGAGCAATTTGGCGAGACCTTGTCTCTACAATAAATCAAAAAATTAGCAGCTATGCTGGTGCATGCCAGTAGTTGTAACTAGTTGGATGGTTGAGGTGGAATGATTATCTGAGTCCAGTAGGTTGAGACTGCGATAGTCATGAGCATGCCACTGCACTCCTGGGTGATAGAGTGAGATTCTGACTCTAAATAAATAAATAATAAATAAATATTATAAATAAATAAATAAATAAATATTATGAAGTGGCACATAAGTGCTAAACAAATAACATTGATGGTAAGTTTTTTTTTTTTTTGAGTCAGTCTCACTCTGTTACCCAGGCTGGAGTGCAGCGGCACGCTCACGGACACCACAGCCGCGACCTGCTGGGCTCTGGCCGATCCTTTCGCCTCAGCCTTCCGAGTAGCTGGAACCACAGGCACTTGTCACCATGCCTGGCTAATTTTTCTTGATTTATTGTAGAGATGAGGTCTCGCCATGTTGCCCAGGCGGGTCTCAAAACCGTGGGCTCAGGCAGTCCTCTCGCCTCAGCCTCCCAAAGTGCTGGGATTACAGGCATGAGTCACTGCCTCTGGCAGGTGCTAAGTTTATGGGACTTTGCAGGTGATGACATCACTGTGGCCCCGGATGCTCGGCAAGACTTTGCCGAGGAAGTGGGATCAAGGCCTCTGAAGGAAGTACGGTGTTGCGGTTAGGAGTGGGAGGTGCCTTCCAGGTGGAAGGAAGGGCTTGCCAGTGGCAGGGAGACAATACTTAGAGACCAGTGAATGGGGCAGGCATGCTTAGTGGCGGGGGTGCTCGTGTGGGTGGTGGCTGAGGACAGGATGGGCAAGTTGTGCTTGAGCCTTCCACTTGCCATGTGACCTTTCGGCGAGGTATTTTACTTCTTTCTCTCTCTGCACTTAGAGCAGTGGAGTTACATTGGATGTGTTTGGCCCTAAAACCCATGATTTTATTTTTTAAATATCAGATAAAATGCTTTTAGTAAGCGACAGTAAGCAAAACTTTAAAAAAAATAAACAGATCACAAGATAAAAGAGGTATTTTAGGGCTTCTGGGAGAGTCATAAATATTTCAAAGAAAAGTAACTAGAAGCAGGTTTAATGGACGTTTCTCTTCTTTTCGCAAGGATCTACCGCTACCAGTCTCACGATTACGCCTTCAGCAGTGTAGAAAAATTACTGCATGCTCTAGGAGGAGATGACTTCCTTGGAATGCTTAACCGAACACTCCTTGAAACGCTGCAGAAAGCAGGCTTCTCTGAGAAATTCCTTGATGAAATGATTGCTCCTGTCATGAGGGTCAATTATGGTCAAAGCACGGACATCAATGCCTTTGTGGGTAAGCCAGGCCTGGGAACCGTGGTGGACACTGGTTTACAAAGGGGCTTACCAGAGGTTTTGGTGGCTCCTGACTTTGGGCCATAGACTGAGAAGGCAGCATTACTCTGGGAACAACAGACATTGTCAGCAAAATTGTGCGTAAGTAGATGTACATTTTAGGGGGAGAGGGTCCTCAGCGTTTGTTAATTCAGTGGCTCTCATCTGGAGGAGATTCTGCCCCGGGGCCATTTAGCAATGTCTGGAGACATTTGGAGCAGAGCGTCTGATTGGGAAGGGAGAGTGGGTAGAGGACCCCTCACAAAGTCGAATTAAAACCCATTTTTTCCTCTCACAGGGGCAGTGTCACTGTCCTGTTCTGATTCTGGCCTTTGGGCTGTAAAAGGTGGCAATAAGCTTGTTTGCTCAGGGCTCCTTCAGGCTTCCAAAAGCAATCTTATATCTGGCTCAGTCATGTTCATAGAGGAGAAAACAAGGACCAAGCAGACAGGTAAGCCTGGACTTCTTTTTAATTGTTCCTGATTTCCCCTGCAGAAAATGATTGCTCACAGAGAGAAACCTCTTTTTGTCATCTCTCACTCAGTTCCAAAATGATGGAACTTTAAATTGCCTCTGTTGTGACATATAGAGTATCCCCAAATGTACTCAAGTGCAGTGGTGTGACTCTACAGATTAAAAAAATTATCTCTAGGCCAGGTGCAGTGGCTCATGCCTGTAATCCCAGCACCTTGGGAGGCTGAGGCAGGAAGAATGCTTGAGCCTAGGAGTTCGAGACCAGCCTAGCAACATAGCAGGATGTTGTCTCTATAAAAAATCAATTATCAGCCCGGTGTGGTGGTATATGCCTGCAGTCCCAGCCACTTGGAAGGCTCAGGTGGACGGATTGCAGGAGTTGGAGGCTGAGACATGATCACGCCACTGCACTGCATCCTGGGCGACAAAGTGAGATCCCGACTCAAAAGTAAAAATTCCATATTTTGTACTTATTGACATTCTGAATAGGAAATTGGTATCAATGTACTAAAAATGCAAGGGACAGTTATCTCAAAGAGATAAAACTCCTTTAAGGCTGGGTGTGGTGGCTCACGCCTGTAATTCTAGTACTTTGGAAGGGGTTTGAGACCAGCCTGGGCAATTTGGCAAGACCTCGTCTCTACAATAAGTCAAAAAATTAGCTGGCCTTGGCTGTGTGTGTCTGTAGTTCCAGCTACTTGGGTAGCTGAGGCACAAGGATCACTCAAGCCCAGTAGGTTGAGGCTGTGGTAGCCATGGTTGTGCCACTGCACTCCAGCCTGGGCAACAGTGAGCTGACTCAAAAACAAAAAAACTCCTTTAATTCTTTTGAATTATAGAAAAATTATTAAGAAGATGTAGAATTATTATTGTTACTTATTTTTTTGAGTTAGTGTCCCACTCTGTTTCCCAGGCTAGAGTGTATTGGTACAATTATGGCTATACAAGCTGCAACCTGCTGGGCTCAGGTGACAGTTCCACATGATTTACTGACCAAATGAGTGTGGGAGCTGGTTGGGACTACAGGCGTATGCCACTTCACCCAGCTAGCTTTTTAAAGGATATTGTAGAGATGAGGTCTTGCCATGTTGCCCAGGCTGGTCTCAATCTCCTGGGCTCAGGCAGTCCTCTTGCCTCCACCTCCCAAAGTACTGGGATTACAGGTGTGAGCAACTGCCCAGCTTAGAATTATTATTATTCCATATTTTGTACTTATTGACATTCTGAATAGGAAATTGGCATCAATGTGCCAATTTGCCATGTTTCCATCTTGCTCAGGCTGGTCTCGAACCCCTGAGCTCAGGCAGTCGTCTCGCCTCGGCCTCCCAAAGTGCTGGGATTACAGGCTCGAGCCACTGCGCCCAGCCTAGAATTATTTTTAAAAGTGTAAAATATAGTATATTAGAAACACTAAAGAAATGTATGCTTTCTTATTCTGTCTAGGAAATCCCACAAAGATGTATGAAGTGGTCTACCAAACTGGATCTGAGACCCATTCAGACTTCTATGACATCGTCTTGGTGGCCACTCCGTTGAATCGAAAAATGTCCAATATTACTTTTCTCAACTTTGATCCTCCAATTGAGGAATTCCATCAATACTACCAACACATAGTAACAACGTTAGTGAACGGGGAGTTGAATACAACTATCTTTAGCTCTAGACCTTTAGATAAGTTTGGCCTTAGTACAGTTTTAACCACTGATAGTCCAGATTTGTTCATTAACAGTATTGGGATTGTGTCCTCTGTCAAGGCAAAGGAAAGTCTTCAGCCGTCAACACACGGAACTTATGTTTGGAAGATCTTTTCCCAAGAAACTCTTACCAAAGCACAGATTTTGAAGCTCTTTTTGACCTTTGATTATGCTGTGAAGAAGCCATGGCTCGCTTATCCTCACTATAAGCCCCCGGAGAAATGTCCCTCCGTCATACTCCATGACCGACTTTATTACCTCAGTGGCATAGAGTGTGCAGCAAGTGCCATGGAGATGAGTGCCATTGCCGCCCACAATGCGGCGCTCCTTGCCTATCACCGCTGGAACGGGAACACAGACATGATTGACCAGGATGGCTTATATGAGAAGCTGAAAACCGAGCTATGAGATGGCACGATCTCTCTTGTCCCCTACTTCCAAGTGAAGATCACTGGCAAGAGAGAATAGCATCTGAGCAGAGATAATTTTGAATCGGATCTTTCGCCATCATCATCGTTTAAAAGTAATCCCTGTGGGTCAAGAATATGCGAGGTTCTGGTTACGTGTGAAGCTGTAACTGTTGCACTTAGGCAATCTCCAACATTTCTGAACTATACTTTCAGTATTCATCAGCAGTGTTTCCCAAACTTGTCTGCTCGTGACCTGGAGCTTGTTAAACAACCGGATTCTCAAACTCCTCTCTGGGAGATTCTGATTTGGCATCTGGGGGTGGGGCCCTGGATTTTAATCAGAACTGTGGAGCATTTTAACCTGAGGGAGAACTTAAAGACATCTTAGCTGGGGACTAGTCCATTTGAGCTTTACAATTGGATGTGATCTTCAGTCAGATAAAACGAGTATGGGAGTTTAGTGTCTTAGGCCTTGCTCTTAGTAATTTTATACTGTTTTGAAGTAAATGTGCCCATGCCTAAAGCCTTGACTTTCAGAATGTGGTCTATCGATTGTTTCTGTGTTAATTTTATAAGGGGTGAAATTTAGAATTCTTAGTATTACAACCTTAAGAAGTCATAAAAAAAACTCAAGTAAATTGAAAAGCAAATATGTGCTATTTAATCAAGAAACTGGCATTCTATTAAATCCTCACTTGTGCTTTTCAAAATACCGAGACACCCACAACCAGGGATTCAGATTTAATGGATTGAGTACACACCTTGGCATGGTAGCTTTGTAAAGTTCCTAACGTGCAACCAGGCTTGAGAATCACTGAGGTTGGGCAAAATGTCTACAAAGGGTTTTTAGTGCCTTGAAAGTCCTAAGAAACCCAATCCATATCAAAGCAGATCTATTTGCAAGGAATAACTTCTCTCAACGAGAACTTTAGTAGTAATCTTGATAAGAAGCATTGACAGTCTAACTGCAGAGGCAACTTAGGTAACTCTAGAGCAGTTGGCACTAGAACAGCATATTCAGAATCTCAGCAAGCCTGACTAAATCCAGCATATGTTCAAAGTGTTAACTGTTTCAAAGTTATTGTAGCATTCTAGGTGAGCAATTGGTTGCTGAAACCTTAAGACAGTGACTGTCAACCTTTCTGCATGTTGGAATCACTTGTAGGGCTTTAGTGTGTCCCAAATAATACCAGTATGCAGCCAAACTTGAGCTGGTTTTACATCTACAGTACGAAGATCATGACTGGTTGTTAGAGCCGCTGGTGGTACACAAGTAAAAACTTGAGAATTAAAAATAAAATTGCAACCAAGTTAACACATACTATTAGTTTAAAAAAAGTCTTTCACCAGATTCTGGCAGTAGCTACTTTAGCAAAATAGCATGAGAACATTGACTCAGTAAAAATTTCATTCCTACTACAGTTGTGAATATTAATATGCTGATAAACTGCCAAGATATATTTGATAACAGAGGCAGGGGTTAAACTCATGGTTTGTCAAAGGGTCAGCTTTTCTCTAATTTTATTCTTAACATGTTAAGAGGTATTCATATTTTCCTTTTGTGGTTTTAATGAAGACAATTTGTAGAGAATGTAATACTGTTATGTATATTGCTAAATATTGGTAAATAATAATAAGTTAATTTCTATCATTTGTAGACTTGTTTTGCAATGAGATATATTTTTAAAAGTATACCGATTTAAAATGTTAATGGTATTATATCAAACCTATTCTGGTTTAATTTTTCAGGAGGGCATGAGATTGCTTTCTCAAAACCAATACAGGTCTTCAATACATCAAACATATTAGGCAGTTTTAATACAACTATAGTATTAAAAGAATACTTTTTTACTGGGAGACAAATACTATCAGAGCCTGCTACTCCAGGCATGTTAGGTCATTTTAATGCAACTATAGTATTCAAGAATAATTTTATTGGAAGAATACTGTCAGAGCTTTGTTATTTCAGGAGACTGCTCTAGTCCTCCTTTTACAGAAGAGACTGGTAAAAATGACGCAAGAACTAAGGAAAGCCAGCACTACTCTAGTGGTTCTCCAGCTGAGTAAGCATGAGAATGACCTGGAGGGCTTGTGAAAACAAAGCCTGGGCCCCACCCTCAGAGTTTATTCAATAGCTTTGTAGTGGGATACAAAAATTTGCATTTTACTAAGTTCCCAAGCATGCTACTATTCGAGGAGCTACATTGGAGAACTAGTACTTTATCCCCGCTCTACGTTATTGCAAAAAATCACCGCCGATGAAGACTTACAGAGCTGCTGAAGAATGGAAGAAAAAATGGACTTTGCATTAATTCTCCTTAGCATGATTGTGTTTAATCCTGCTGTTCTTGTTATAAACATTTTCTATAAGACATGCCATTTGAGAGAGATATATATAAAAGTTATTCATTGTGTTGTTTTACAAGAACTTTACCCACTTGTGTATATTCCATTCTGTGCAGTTTTAAAGTGATTCAAGATTTGCAGGCTTTTTACCAGATTACAGAAAGAAGAGGCCTTCCTCAAGCATTTGTTTGGTAAGGCTTCTTAAGGTCAGGTTTATAATGCAACCATCTGTAATATCTCTCTCACTTGAGCTTTCGGACCATAAAGAATATATTGTGAACAGCACTTTCACCGTCCTTCTCTACTCACAAAGAACCACAATACACTGGAATGTTTTTCTCTGGAATCCTTTCTACTTTTGTTCAAAAATTTCCCCAGTTACTCATGTTCAAAATAAATAATTACATCATTACTTGCTGTTTTACTATATTTGGAATGTAGATATACTTGGAAACTAAGTAGACTGAAGTCACTATTCTTAATTTTTGAAAATTACAGTTACTGTTTCAGAAGAAAGTCACTCATGTTCGCAGCTTCATCTGTTCAGTGTTGGAAGATGGAGAAGAGGAATCCTTGCTATGTTTCACATTTAATAGGATTCTTCCATTTTAATGTGTAAAACCCTTTGAAATCAGTCTTAACCAAGAACAATCATGTTAGAAAAAAAAAATCAGGCTAAGAGCTAATATTCTACATTCACAACATCTGAGAAAGCATTTTTGACCATTACAAAAGTTTATTTAACAAAAAGTTTAATACGAAAATGTACATGACCCAATTTTTACATCCAAGTAAAACAGGCCCTTGGGAGAAAGGACATGGACTTCTTTGCTGAAAAGCCATTTATACTCGTTCCAAGGCTTCTAACATGATAATACTATTTCCTCGTATTACCTAAGAAAGAGAAAAAGTACATTCATTTACCAAACCTATCAATGATGGTTATTATTAATGGTTCTTCAACAACTGCATGCCAGTTTGTGAAGCCTTTGTCAAGCCTCAGGGAGACCAAAAAACTCTAGGCCCTTTATAAAATGCACATCTAGAGCGAAGAATTACCTTTATGAAATACTGAGTCTCCATGGACTCATTTCACCTTCAAAACTGCAGGACTCAAATGAACATGCCTACTCCTGTCTCCAAAAATTAATGGAAAAAACAGGTGCAGCAGAATATCTTAGGCACAGTTTAGGGTATAGTTTCATTTAGAGAACAAACTAGGATGGAAGGCTATCAAATTCTAGGCAGAACTAATAAGATAAAGTATAAAAACATACTAGCCTAGGAAACATAGCAAGACTCATCTCTACAAAAAAAAAAAATCAGCCAGGTGTGGTGGCACACGCCTGTAGTCCCAGCTACTTGGAAGGTGGGAGGATTGCCTAAGCACAGCAGGTTGAGGCTGTGGGGAGCTATGACCATGCCACTGTCTTCCAGCATGGGCAACAGAGTGACACTGGGGGTGGTGGAGGGTGGGGGGAAGGATAAGGAAAGAATCCAACTTGAGCGCAAAGATAGGCATCCGATGCAAAGATTGGCATCCGATCCCCATTAAGACAGGTTCTCACTATGTTGCCCCGGCTGGTCTTGAACTCCTGGCCTCAGGTGATTCTCCTGCTTCAGCCTCCCAAAGTACTAGGATTACAGGTGTGAATCACTGTGCCCAACCTCAAGTGCCAATCTTCAAGTAGTCATCATGAAATAAAAAATGAGCCAGTGAAAGTGTCACAGTTGGGCTGGATGCAGTGGCTCACGCCTGAATCCCAACACCTTGGGAGGTGGGGGCGAGAGGATTGCTTGAGCTCAGGGGTTTGAAACCAGCCTGAGCAATATGGTGATACCTTGTCTCTACAATAAATAAGTAAAATAAATAAATAAATGTCAGCTGGGTATGGTGGTGCATGCCTGTGGTTCCAGCTACTCGGAAGGTTGAGGCAGAATGATCACCTGAGCCCAGCAGGTTAGGCTGAGGTGGCTGTGAGCATGCCACTGCACTCCAGCCAGGGCAGCAGAGTAAGACTCTGACTCAAGGAAAAAAAAAAAAAAAAGGAAGTTCTACAGTCGAGGGAATAATAATGTGTTCTGCAACATTTATAAAAGTTTAAACAGGAGAGGTAAAGCAGAAAGAGAAGTTATAAAAGGTCCAACCTGGGCAACATAGTGAGACCTCTATATTCACCCCCTATATCAAAGTAGTGAGGCAAAAACAAAACAACCCCCCCAACAAACAAAAAAGGCTAACAATGAGCAACTCCCACCTCTTGAAAGTCACTATGCTCAATTATTTGCTAACGTTAGGTTGTTCTTTTTGGTCCCCCTTTTCAAGAAATTAGGGCTTACTACTTCTTAGGTACATTGCCCTGTGTTAGACAAAGAGGGATTCAAAGTCTGGGTCTTGACAAAATATCAAAATTCTTTTTCAGTAATCACTATGACTATGGCCTAATGCAGGAATATTTGCTTCTAAAATGAGAGCTCAATTTTTTTTTCCTGCTTTCTCTCATGTGAAAGGCTATCTTTGTGATTATCCTGTGCAACTTTTACCTTGGCTACTTTTAAATTTGGGTTGTGATAAACCAGAAAATTCAGATTAGTAAAATTAGAAAGTGTGATCTGTGGACTGGCAGATCTGTGTTACCTGTGCATTTGTTAGAAATGCAAACTCTCAGGTTCCACCTCACACCTAATGAATCTGATCTGACTTTAACTGGGGATTCATATACATGTTAATGTTTCAGAGCTACTGCTCTAATGAAGGACTAACTATAGGCCTCTATTACACAGTAAAGCTGAAAAATGATTTCCAACAGCTACTTCAAATCATAGCACCTTGGTCCTTAAGTGAAGTTGAGATCTCACCTACAGGTAACAGAGATATGAGTGCAGATGAATGACTGCCGTACGTTAAACTCAAAGGAGATGGGAAGTTTAATCGTGCCTGTAATCTGCCTTTTCCGAGGTTTACTAACTCCAGTTTAATACATGAGTTTGATATAAGTAAATATATTCCAAAAGAAAAATGGAATCTCTAAGAGCAATCTTGTATCTACTTACCACCATGCCAATATTGTTCTGTTGTCCACTAGTTGCCATCTCCACGCATTCATCTATCACAAGATTCATAAAGGGGTCAAATCCCCGTAATATTCCTTGGACATGTCTGCCACCATTTAGTTTCACTATTAAAGAGGGAAAGTTTTAGTAAAAAACTTTAGTTCATTAACCATCAACCATTCATTAAAAATTAGGTGGGACAAAACACAGGTATTTGAGATGTTTGACCTATTACCCTTACTATATGCTAAGCACTAGGTTAAACATTTTATATTTACTTCCACATTGCAATTTATTTATTTATTTTGAGTTTGAGTCTCACCCTGTTGTCCAGGCTAGTGTGAAGTGGTACGCTCAGTTACTGAAGGTTCAACCTGCTGGGCTCAGGCGATCCTTCTGCCTCAGCCTTCCAAGCACTGGAACCACAGGAGCTCGCCACCACACCTGGCTAATTTTTTTGACTTATTGTACAGATGAGGTCTTGCCAAGTTGCCCAGGTTGATCTCGTAGCCCCAGGCTCAGGCAATACTCTTGCCTCTGCCTCTCAAAGTGCTGGGATTACAGGCAAGAGCCACTATGCCCAGCTCCACTTTTTAATTTATAAGAATCCTATAAAGTAGGATTATCCTTACTCTACAAGAGGGAACTTAAGTTTGGAGATTTTAAGTAACAGGGTTCAGGGTTACACAGCTACTACGGTAGAGCTGAGAAGTCAAAGTGAAGGCTGATAATCTCTAAAGCTCAAGTACATAGGACTGTGTGGGTGAGTTTTTAAGTTAAGTTTAACACATTTGTTTTTCCTACATATTCACAATAAACAGAATGATCCCATTCCTTGTCTAAGTCCTTCATAACTTGTTTTGCTTTTTTTTTTTTTTTGAGTTGGAGTCTCACTCTGTCGCCCAGACTGGAGTGCAG